AATATAAGAAATGCAATGGAAGGATAGTTTCTAGTTGCTGGGACTGTGTACACAAGTAGTATATCTACATGGTTGTAGTAATATGATATCATTTTAACTGTCATGGCCCCAACTCTATGGATTCCTGGGATTTGTAGTTGGATAAAGTGCTAGAAGACAGCTCTTCTATGGATGAATCCTAGGATTGGTGCATTGTCCAATATAGTTTATCCCATATTTATGAGGGATACATTTCCAGTCACCCATGTGGACAAATGTGGATTTCGGAGGATTGTGCATTTTTGAATTTTAGATAAGTTATATTAAATTGTATTATAGTGGAATACAATTGTGTGGCTAGCATGCACCCCAGGCCCCTTTTATACTGCCATATAATCCAGATTATCAAAGCAGATAATCCCTATCCCTCTCCGAAAATTCTATCCTAGTTATACTTCACCTGTCATGCTCAGCATTATTTTTAATATTTTAATTATTACATTGGCCCAGCCATAGGTTTTTAACGTTATTGTGTTATTGTTAATGTTTATTGCTTATTTTTGCTTATGAGTTTATCTATCGTTTTGTATTACTGTTGTTATTGTTTTTACTGTTGTATTGTGGGCTCGGCCTCATGTAAGCCGCACTGAGTCCCTCGGGAAGATGGTAGCAGGGTACAAATAAATTATTATTATTATATTATTATTATATGAGTCTACACTGCCATGAAATCCAGTTCAAAGCAGATAATCTTGATTTTATACGGCAGTGTAGAAGGGGCCCCAGGTTTCCTGATTGAGTCCACTGGTTTGTGTGGAACTGCACAAAAGCAAGACCACACAATTCCATTGCAAACTATAATAATTCTCTGCAGATCTTTCACCACTTTGCAAACCGACATCCAGTTCAATGTCGTTCTTATTTTTTCTCTCCAAAATGAGAAATGCAACAAATACACTCAAGCCTTCCACAATTCGTTTGAAGGATATGCCTTGAGATTGTCCTGTGGCAAAACCCGGAATGGCTCCCAAAGTCCCTGGAATCCAGCCTAGAATATGGCCCACTTTACATCTTTGGCACCCTCCCTCTCCTTCCTGCTGAATTTTGTTTCCAATTGCTTGAGCCCCAGAGGATTTGCAGGGATGGCAGAGAGCTTCATTAGCCATCCGCCTGAGAGGGTTGTGCTGAATTGTTGAGTAGCGGTGCATGTCGTTTGTATGGGGAAGAAAGCCCCTTCCTCTCCCCACTCGCCCTCAATGCGCAGAGGCCTCACGGGGCAAGTCTCTCGCCATAATACACGCATCCGCAATCAGCTGAGAGCTCCCCGCGGCATGCGAGAAGCAGCCTCCACTCTTCAGTAATGCCTGACGTGAATGGATGTCAAATCAGAGGGTTCCTGTCAGAGGGATTTCTTATTTCTTTCCTGGCAGGGGAGCTCCCCCAGTGTCAACTGGAGCAAAGCACGGTGGCAAAGCAATTGTGAACTACCTGGCCTGCCTGCCCTGTGTCCTAGGGTGCATCTACACTGTGGGATCAATGCACTTCTACACCACTATGTCTCAATATTATGCAATCATGGGCACTGTTACATCACAGCCATCCCTGGCAAAGAGTACTGGTGCCTCATCAAACTAAACCTCTCATGATTCCATAATAAGGAGCCATAGTGGTTTAAGTGGTATCAAACTGCATTACTTCCACAGTGCAGATGCATCCCAAGTCCACAACTGCATTCAAACTTTCAGAAACTTCAGAGCCTGGGGTGATCCTGAAATTGAAATAGAATGAAGGAACCACAGTCTGAAATGGTTTTATGGTCCATCTACCTCAACTTGCGGGTCGGGGGGGGGGGGTCACAAGGAGGTTTCAGTGGGGTTGCCAAAGACCATCAGAAAACATATATTTCTGATGGTCTTGGGTACTTCTTTGGCAGAGAAGGTTGAAGATCTCTCCGCCTGTTCTTCTCTTCCTTTTTGGAAACAGACAGCAAATCCTCTCACCACCGTGATTGACTGGCCTCTAAGCCAAGGAGAGGGCTGTTTCTGAGACTCCAAGTGGGGAGGGGAGAGCAGGTGTGCTTGGCGCATGGCAGCGTGGTGCACTTGTGCATGCAAGGAAGAGCATGCAAGGCTGGAAGAAGGTTCATTCCCATGAGTCCCTTCAAGACATGGGGGTTCTGTGTGGGAAGTTTGGCCCAATTTTATCATTGGTGGTGTTCAGAATGCTCTTTGATTGTAGATGAACTATAAATCCCAGCAATTACAACAAGGTCTATTTTCTCCAAACTCTACAAGCGTTTGGAAAAAATAGACCGTGTTGTAGTTGCTGGGACTAATGTTCTGGTTGGGGGTCACCACAACCTGAGGAACTATATTAAGGGATCGCGACATTAGGAAGGTTGAGAACCACTGATTTACCTTGTCAACAAATGCTTAAGTGTAGATGGACCCTTAGACCAGTGTTTCTCAACCTGGGGTTCAGTATCCGGGGGGGGGGGGGGACAAAGGTGTCTGAGGGGTTGCCACAGACCATCTGAGAATACAATATTTTCTGTTGGTCATGGGGGTTCTGTGTAGGAAGTTTGGCCCAATTCTATGATCGGTGGGTTCAGAATGCTCTTTGATTGTAGCCAAACGATACATCCTAGCAACTACAACTCCAAAACATCAAGGTCTATTTCCCACAAAATCCACCAGTGTTCACATTAGGCCATATTGTGTATTTGTGCCAAGTTTGGTCCAGATCCATCATTGTTTGAGTCCACAGTGCTCTCTGGATGTCTGTGAACTAAAACTCCAAAACTCAAGATCAGTGCCCACCAAACCAGTATTTTCTGTTGGTCATGAGAGTTCTGTGTGCTAAGCTTGGTTCAATTTCATCATTGGTGGAATTCAGAATGCTCTTTGATTGCAGGTGAACTATAAATCCCAGCAACTACAACATGATGATTCATAACAGTAGCAAGATTACAGTTATGAAATAGCAATGAAATAATGTTATGGTTGGGGGTCACCACAACCTGAGGAACTGTATTAAGGGGTCACAACATTTTGAAGGTTGAGAACTACTGATCTACCTTGTCAACTAAGCATATTTACCAAGAAGCTATGAACGGAATGAATGCACAGATGTAACTAAGATTTTTAAAAGTCTCACCACTCCGGGTGAAAAAAGGCAAGCTGAACCTACTGAAAACAAACAGTAGTGCTTTTTGACAGGTGACTTCTCCTCTTAAGTTTGTTGCAACCCACAACTTGCTCAGCAGGATGCATTTCTCTTCCTTCGCCGTTTGTGCCCCTTCCTTCCCTTTGGCATCTCTCTCTATCTCTCACCTTCCCTCCCTTTCAGAGCACATGGCGGCTTTCATGCTCTCTTTGCTTTGAATCCGAAGCAGAAAAGAAAAACAAATCACAACAAGGGAAGGCGGGATGAATCAAAGTACAGTAGAAGGAGAAGAGCAAAAGAAAGGCAATGAAATGAGGAGGAGAGCAAGAGAGCGCCTTGCAGAAACAGCTTTGAACAGGGTTTGTTTAGCGGGATATCTGCACCATAGAAAGCAGCTTTTACATCCCTTTAACGCCATGGTATCATGGAGCTGTAGTTTCACAAAGTCTTTAGACTTTGCTAACAAAGAATGCTGGTTCCTCAGCGAACTACAACTCCCAGGATTCCATAGTGTTGAGCCATGGTAGTCAAAGTGCATGAATTCTATACTATAAGCTCCCCAAGTTCCCAGCATGGCCTCTATGAAAAAATAGGCACCTGACTTAGTAGCACATGACATAGAATCATAGAATCCTAGAGTTGGAAGAGACCATGTGGACCATCCATTCCAACCCCATTCTGCCAAAAAGCAAGAAAATTGCATTCAAAGCATCCCTGACAGATGGCCATCCAGCCTCTGTTTAAAAGCCTCCAGAGAAAAAGCCTCCAGTGGGGCAGAGAGTTCCACAGCTCTCACAGCCAGGAAGTTATTCCTAATGTTCAGATGGAATCTCCTTTCTTGTAGTTTGAAGCCGTTGTTTCATTACGTCCTAGCCTCCAAGGAAGAAGAAAACAAGCTTGCTCCCTCCTCCTTATGACTTCCCCTCACATATTTATACATGGCTATCATGTCTCCTCTCATCCTTCTCTTCTTCAGGCTAAACATGCCCAGCTCCTTAAGCCACTCCTCATAGAGCTTGTTATCCAGACCCCTAATCATTTCAGTCACCCTCCTCTGGACACATTCCAGCTTGTCAATATCTCCCTTCAGTTGTGGTGTACAGAACTGGACACAATATTCCAGGTGCGTTCTAACCAAGGCAGAATAGAGCATGAGTAGCACGACTTCCCTGGATTTAGACACTAGACTCCTATTAAAGCAGGCCAAAATCCCATTGGCTTTTTTTGCCACTGCATCACATTGTTGGTTTATGTTTAACTTGTTGTCCAGAAGGACTCCAAGATCTTTTTCACACGTACTGCTCTCAAGCCAGGCATTGTCCCCCATTCTGTATCTTTGCATTTCATTTCTTCTGCCCAAGTGGAGTCTCTTGCATTTGTCCCTGTTGAACTTCAATTTGTTAGTTTTGGCCATTCATCTCTCTAATCTGTCAAGATTGTTTTGAATCCTGCTCCTGTCCTCTGGAGTCTTGCCTCTCCCTCCCAATTTGGTGTCGTCTGCAAACTTGATGATCCTGCCTTCTAACCCTTCATCTAGTCATTAATAAAGATGTTAAACAGGACCTGGCCCAGGACGGAACCCTGCTGATTACACTCCACTCATCACTTCTTTCCAGGATGAAGAGAAAGCATTAGGGAGAATCACCCTCTGGGTTCGTCCATTTAACCAATTATAGATCCACCTAACCGTAGTTTTGGCTAGCCCACTTAGGCTAGCAAACTGGCATTTTGTTGGGAATATTCGATCAGTAACACCAAAATGGCAAAAAGTTGGGTGCAGTCCATTTAAGATCCCATCTTGCAACCCACACTGAGCTGCTAGAATGACTTTTGGGGAGGGCAAGAGCGTTTCCTACCTGTGACATTGACTTCCACCAGGCCAGAGCGTGTGCCGATGGTGTTGGATGCCTCACAGACATATGTCCCCGCCAGGTTGAACGTCACTGGTCCCTTGAAGAACAGAGTGCTGTTTTGCACCTCCACATTGTCAGGAAGGGAACCGTTCATCCTGTTGCAAAAGAAGAATGGACAAGTTAGGGAGAAACTTCTCTTGCGCAGAGAGCAAATTTGGTTACCTATCAGATACCATCACCTGAACAAGTTATGCAATACAGTCAGGCCTCCACATTTGGTAGGGATGCAGGAACCCTCTTCATGTAGGAAACTACAAAAAAAATGCTATTTTCTTTAACTGAGAGAATACCTCTCTAGGTCCTCTTGTGGTCAATTCAGTTGGAGGAAAATGAACAGTGGCATCCAACCTTTGGTCCTTCGAGTGTTTTGGATTCCAGCTCCCAGAATTCCTAGGGCTTCTGGGAACTAGAGTCCCAAACATCTGGAGGACCAAAGGTTAGACAACACTAATCTAGGCTGGATGTACACTGCTCTATAACCCAGTATCTGATTCCAGATGATCTGCTTTGAACTGGATTATATGAGCCTACACTGCCAGTTCAAAGAATCATAGAATTGGAAGAAACCTTGTGGGCCATCCAGTCGAACCCCTTGCCAAGAAGAAGGATAATTTGGATCCAGAAACTGGATTATACAGCAGTGTAGATGGGATCTCAGAGACTCCTATAGAGGAGTTATCTTCAGGTCCTCCAGTGTTACTCTGTGGGCAACATCCAGCAGAAATTGACCACAGAATTACACTGGAGGAGCTAGAACAGCATTTCTCAACCTGGGGGTTGGGACCCCTGAGGGGGGTCACGAGGGGGTGTCATACGGGTCACCAAACACCATAAGAAAACACAATATTATCTAGTAGTTCTGTGTGGCCCAATTCTATCGTTGGTGGGGTTCAGAATGCTCTTTGATTGTAGGTGAACTACAACTCCCAAGGGTCAAAATCTATTTTCTCCAAACTGCACCAGTGGTCACATTTGGGCATATTGAGTATCTGTGCCAAGTTTGGTCCAGATCCATCATTATTTGAGTCCACAGTGCTCTCTGTATGTAGGTGAACTACAATTCAACACAAGGTCAATGCTCTCCAAAGCTTTCCAGTATTTTCTGTTGGTCATGGGAGTCCTGTGTGCTAAGTTTGGTTCAATTGCATCATTGGTGGAGTTCAGAATACTCTTAGATTGTAGGTGAACTATAAATCTCAGCAACTTCAACTCCCAAATGACAAAATCAACCCCCCCCCCTCAATCCCACCAGTATTCAAATTTGGGTATATTGGGTATTTGTGCCAAATTTGGTCTGTGAGTGAAAATACATCCTGCATATCAGATATTTACGTGATGATTCATAACAGTAGCAAAATTACTGTTAATAAGTAGCAATGAAAATAATGTTATGGTTGGGGGTCACCACAACATAAGGAACTGCATTAAGGGGCTGCGGCATGAGGAAGGCTGAGAAACACTGAGCTAGTATATTCTAAATTAAGCATTTTACTCAAATGTGTGAATAATCTCATTCACAAAGGGTCCAACCCACAAATGTGGAGGGCTGACTGTATAAGCCAATGCAATTTATTCAGCAGTAAGATGAGCCATATTCGTTGGAAATGGAAACCCTGCTAGCCCAAGAAAGCCACCAGAAATATTGCTTAACCCATCTTTCCTCCAGATAACTGACTTCTGAGATTGGTCGTACACTCTTTTAGGTCCGCCTTTGAAGTCTTAAAGGCATGATTGTTGCTTTTATGGAAACCTGGGCATTTGATCTCCAGGATATGCCCTCTTTGTACTACTCCTGGATTTTTTTACCTCTATAGCAAGGACAAATATTATTGTTAGTCCAATGACATCCTGGTATAAAACAGGACCAACAAATGGATGAATCCATGACGAATATTATTAAACAAAGTGGCAGAAACCTAGTGATGAACCAATCTCAAAAGCATGAGTTGCAGAATATCCACAGAGAGAAACACAGGGAATAAATTGCTCATGTTGAATGACCAATACAAGCTAAAGCCATGACTTTAGCTAAAGCATGTCCAAGTGAGGGATGGAGCATCTATCTTGCATGCAGAAGGTCCCAGGTTCGACCACCAGAAATTCCAAGGAAAAAGGATCAGGAAAGCAAATAAGACACTGGCACCCATTGATACAGTGGTTCTCAACCTGTGGGTCCCAAGCTGTTTTGGCCTCCAACTCCCAGAAATCCTAAACTGGCTGGGATTCTTGGGAGTTGTAGGCCAAAACATTTGGGAACCCACAGGTTGAGAACCATTGCATTAATACAAGATGAGTTGGCCTTGGGTCATCTATTCTTATATGAGGCATTTTCATACATGACCCATCTTCCTAAAGAAAGCAACTGGCTGGGTGTCATTCATAGGGAAAGAAGCAGAAGGACGTTGATGCTTGGTTACTTCCATGCCAAGAAGAGGTCATACCCCAAACCATGCCAGGGCCACCAAAGAAGAGGAAGGTACACTTTGGGTAGAATGTAAGGGCAACTAAGGGAGAAAAGTGCAGAAGGTATCCACCACTCGTCTGGCAGATAAAACCGTTAAGGGACTAGATCCCAGGAAATTAAATTGCTTGCTCACCTATCCATACCTACTTTAGTCTGTGGGAGCCTGAAAGAAAAAGAGAAGTTAAAGTTTTGTTGGAAATAATACTAGTACTCCTGCGAACGGAGGGAGGGATCATCCTGTTTCTTGGTTATAACCTGCTCCACATCCCCATCCAAAGCTTTTCATATCCTCCCATTCCTCTGATATTAATCCTCTCTCATCCTATTTTGTCGGCTGTTTTTATAATGTCCCTGTTTTTCTCTCCTTCTTCTCCTTTCCCCCTTTGTACACAGCTTACTTCCATTCCTGCAAAACAAGTCCAATGTCCAAATGTAGTTAAACTTAAGTGTGGTGGAGAAAAGGGGCAGAGAAATGCCCTTCCCTTTAGAAAAAACCAAAATGCTGCAGTGTCTCTGAGTTTTCTATTTTAATTCATTAATCGTTGTTGTAATCTTGTCCATAGGAGTAACTGTGGCACAACGGGTCAAACCCTTGTGCCGGCTGAACTACTGAGCTGAAGATCGGTGGTATGAATCTGCGAGACAGGGTGAGCTCCTGTCTGTCTGCCCCAGCTTCCCATGCGGGAACATGAGAGAAGCCTCCCACAGGATGGTAACACATCTGGCATCCCCTGGGCAACATCTCAGCAGACAGCCAATTCTCTCACACTAGAAGAGACTTGCAGTTATTTGGTGTCACTTCTGACATGGAAGAAAAATCTTCTCCATATTCCACCATGGTCTATCCATACATATTCCGCTTTTAAACTATTGGAAGATATGTCTTTTGCCCTTTTTTGGTTCCCATAACTGCCTTTTTACTAGTTGAGGATATTTTCAAGTACAAAAAAGGAGGCCAACACATCCGGGTATCCCCTGGGCAACGTCTCGGAAGACACCCAATTCTCTCACACCAGAAGAGACTTGCAGTTATCTTGTGTTGCTTCTGACATGGAAAAAAAAATCTTGTCCATATTCCACCATGGTCTATCCAAACATATTCTGCTTTTAAACTATTGGAAGATATGTCTTTTGTCCTTTTTTAAGTTCTCAGCACTGCCTTTTCACTAGTTGAGGGGACTTTAAAATACGAAAAAGGAGGCTAACACATTCCTGGTTTATCTTTGGAAATGCTCAGATAAATTATGCTCGGCATAATGGTGTCATGGTATAATTTCCCTTGGAGCTAAAACTGAGATGCTCTCTACATTCATGTATTTAAGAAAGGTATTTCAACTGTCCCCAAACCAAGCTCTGAAGGTCAGGTGGACTACAGAGCACATCCCTCCACCACTATGCTGCCCGAGGATGATAGGAATTATAGTCTAAGGCCCCTTCCACACAGCTGAATAAAATCCCACATTTTCTGCTTTGAGCTGGAATATATGGCAGTGTGGACTCAGATAACCCAGTTCAAAGCAGATATTGTGGGATTTTCTGTCTTGATATTCTGGGTTATATGGCTGTGTGGCAGGGCCCTAAAACCTCTGGAAGGGAAGCAGACTTGGAGAAGACTCCTTCAGACCCTTTCTGTACAATCTTAACTTTCATGCAGGTTAGAAAACAGAAACTTCTGAGCTGCGGCTGTGATTTGGGACACGGACATTCAAAAATACAGAAAGTTCCCTTCTTTCTGCCCTGCCATTGTTAGGTTTGTGTTCTGCCTGCTGGCAATGCTCACTAGAATAGAAAGTACTCTGCTCTGGATTCGTCTTCTTTTTCTTCTTGGCAGCGTGAAATGTAAAGGGAAAATAAAAATAGACCAGCCCTGGGGTCCATTTGTGTTAATCATTCTCCCCCCAATGGCTTTGACTCTGCCCTTGATCTCTTCCATTGATTCCGCAGAAAGCCCAAACCTTGGGCTGCATGCATTCAGCCAGTTTTGGGGGTGGGGGGACTACATTTTCTGGAGGTGAGCCTTAATGTTATATCAGGAGGAACCTCTGTTCCAGAAAATGGCAACTAAAACCAACTGTAAAAATTAGGGCTGGGCGGTTTCGTTTCGTTAATTCATAATTCGTTATTTTTTTCAATTACAAAACGATAACGAACCATTCTGGAGCAATTTTTTAAAAAAACGAATTTTTAAACACGTTTTGTAAATGATTCGTATTTCGTTATTGTATTCGTTTCGTTATTGTTCTGAGGTCGTTTCGTTATTATTTCCGCATGTCTGGGGCAAGTTTTATGGTTTTTTTTGTTTAATTAGTGAAAAAAAATTATAATATCACACCAACAGTCAACAACAGAGGGAGAGGGAAGCTTCAGAAGGTTTTGGAGGTTTTTTAGCGTATTTCGCGGTCGCATCCGCCATTAATGAATCGATTCGTTATTGTTTCGGAAATCGATTCGTTAATTTTTTACCATTTACGAAATTTCGTAAATATCGAACTTTTTAAAAGGAAAATTTTGTAATTATTTTAAATAACGAAACGCAAAAAACCCCAAATAACGAATCGGTTTTAGAAACAAATTTTTCCGTTGTTACCCAGGCCTAGTAAAAATCAATGAACAACTGGTGCAGGTGTATTTTATTTACAAGGGGAACTCTGCTATGGTTACTCTTGGTTGAAATCCCAACCTGTGCCCCATTGCAAGATTGTGAGTCGAAGTAGCAGTCAATTGGGAGATGTTTTGGTTATAAAGAATTATTGATGTCATCCAGGGCTGAACATATTGATTTCATGGGAGTCTATCATATAACTCCATGGACATTTGGAGCCTATACTTTTTCGATATGCTTTGCGGAGCCCCAAGGGCTCTGCGGAGCACACTTTGAGAACTGTTGATCTAGATTACTCATATTTATGAAGAGGAGGCAACCCAGTGCCACACCAGATGCCAAGGAGCACAGCTCCTCTAAGACCCAGTCAGTCTTACAGATGGTCTGCGATTATGAGAGTTTAGTCCAAAACATCTGGCAGTGTCTGGGTTGCCTTACACCAATGCATTGGAGGAAAAGGATTTAAAACCATTCATGTACAACGTCTCAACATTTCTTTGAAAAGCTCCATAAAGTCAAGTCAACAGTGTTACCCTGGTCCAACAGATGGGATCTGGGAGGGAAGATGTCCCTCCGGAAGGTTATCAACTGAGCAGATCTACAAGGCTCAGAGCTTGTCCTCTTGACTGCTGGAAGCATCACCAAACTCAAAGTGTCACAACTAGGATTTACTTGATATACTATACTATAGAGATATAGAATTCCATGTTTAAATTGGGAGACTTGGAATAACTGACAGTTGAAAAGTCATCCAGTCCAACCTCCTGCCATGCATGAATGCAGAACTAAAACACTCTCAACTGCTGAACATCCAACCTCTGTTTAAAGACCTCCATCATCATCACAAGAAGTCTATTCCACCTCTGAATCTGATGTTAGGAAGAACAAGTTCTTCTTAACATTAGGTGGCATCTTCTACATGACATTCAGGTATTTAAAGACACTTCTCATGCCAGCATGGGTGAGTGGTTTGCGTGTTGGACTGATTCTGGAGACCATAATTAGAGGTGTGCAAATCTGTTCTGTTTTCAGGAAAATTCTGGGAGATTAGAAGGGGGTCATTTGGATTCATAATTTGGAACTCTGTGTTCTGTTTCGGGAAGAATCTTCTCAAAAACAGAACTGGGAGTGGGATGGGGACATGAAAACAGAATGAAAACAGAGCAGATTCTGTGCCATTTCTCACAACCTTAGTTCAAATCCTTACTTAGTTCAAATCCTTACTCACACTTTTGGTGATCTTTGACAAGTCACACTTAGACAGCCTCGGAGGGAAGCAATGGCATACCCCCTCTGAACAACTTTGGCCAAGAAAACCCATGAGAGGTCTCCCTTAATCTGAAAGGACTCAACAACAAATAATGACTCCTCTCAGGCTTGTCTTCTCCAAGTGTCCAAGTTTTTTTTAAAAAAAACCCTGTAAGCATTAATAAGAATTACAAATACTATTATTTTAACCAGAAAGAGTACTTTTCTAGGCATTTGAAGTTCCTCCAGCATGGTTCTACGGTCAACGTCTGGTGGAAGTAGAGCATAGAATTGCACATGGCATATAAATACCTAGAGAAGTGGAAGTAGACCATACAATTGCATTGGGGGATCTACAAACACCTAGAGAAGTGGAAGTAGACCATAGAACTGCAATGGAGGATCTACAAACACCTAGAGAAGTGGAAGTAGACCATAGAATTGTATTGGAGGATCTACAAACACCTAGAGAAGTGGAAGTAGACCATATAATTGCATTGGAGGGTCTACAAACACCTAGAGAAGTGGAAGTAGACCATAGAATTGTATTGGATAATCTACAAATACCTAGAGAAGTGGAAGTAGACCATAGAATTGCATTGGAGGATCTACAAATATCTAGAGAAGTGGAAGTAGACCACAGAATTGTATTGGAAGGTCTACAAATACCTAGAGAAGTGGAAGTAGACCATAGAATTGTATTGGAGGATCTACAAATACATAGAGAAGTGGAAGTAGACAACAGAATTACATTGGAGGATCTATAGATACCTAGAGAAGTGGAAGTAGACCATAGAATTGTATTGGAGGATCTACAAATACCTAGAGAAGTGGAAGTAGACCATATAATTGCATTGGAGGATCTCCAAATACCTAGAAGAGTGGAAGTAGACCATAGAATGTATTGGAGGATCTACAAATACCTAGAGAAGTGGAAGTAGACCGTAGAATTGTACTGGAGAATCTACAAATACCATGAGAAGTGGAAGTAGACCATAGAATTGTACTGGATGATCTACAAATACCTAGAGAAGTGGAAGTAGACCATAGAATTACACTGGAGCATCTACAAATGCCTAGGAGTCGATGTTGATCATAGAGTCATGCTGAAGGACGTAAAAATCCCCAAAGAGGATTTTGTTTTGGATCACATGTAGAGTAGCAGTGGAGGTGGCAATAAATGAGGAGGGACAACTGTAATAATAATACCTACAAGGCTAGGCCAGATTCCACTTCCCTGATACACTAGATATCTATATGCAGTGATTTTCTTCATGGCATAGGATCCAGTCCTGCCAGTCATGATCGACACCTCAAACCAACGCAATACACTGGGATACCGGCCCATCCTCTGCTGTTTGTGAGAACTAGGCCAGCTATTTACTCTCTCACGCTCCTGACTCCAAGCAGGTCACCCCAGGTGATCAGACGTGTGAGTCACGGACTGCTGATCAGATCCATCCGCCTGGAAAGGCACACAGAGGCACGCGCCCAGCCAGGCAGGGATGCTCACTGGGGTGGAAGTCAACCTCGGGAGCTGAGCGAGGGTGAAGGGATTTTATTTGAAGGAGAACGAAGACCTGAGGATGTCATGAAGAAGCACAGAGACTGGCTGTTGTTGATTTGATCCTTCAGATCCATCAGCTGCAAAAGTGATGCTAGGGAGACCCAAAGTCCAGTGCTTAAAAAATTATCTAATATCATTGAACAGTAATAGATCTATTATTGTTGTTGTGTGCTTTGAAGTCATTGCTGACATATGGCAACCCTATCTGTTTTTGTTCAGTGTGGGGTTGCCTTTGTCTTCCTGTGAGGCTGAGAAAATGCAACGTTGTCAAAAGCACTCAGTGGGTTTCCATGTCTGATTCAGGATTGGAACCTTGATCTCCCAATCCAAAACTCAAACCACTACACCATACTCTCTTCCCTTCTCTTATAGATCCGAATTCAATCTTTTCCTCTTTCCTTCCTTTTCTTTTGCAAGCAAGACAAAAGAACACTGATTTGATTTATTGTCGAAGGCTTTCATGGCCAAAATCACTGGATTGTTGTAGATTTTTTCGGGCTATATGCCATGTTCTAGAGGCATTCTCTCCTGACGTTTCGCCTGCATCTATGGCAAGCATCCTCTGAGGATGCTTGCCATAGATGCAGGCAAAACATTAGGAGAGAATGCCTCTAGAACATGGCCATATAGCCCAAAAAACCTACAACAACCCAGAGATTTGATTCTTGCTATTGTGAACAATGATAAATCTATAATCCTCACTATTACAAAACACATCATGCTCCAACAGCAGACTATGTCATCTCAGTGGTTTGCATTTCTAAGAGTCTTGGTGTGGATTCAGGTAACCTTTCCAAGGCTAAGAATGTCCTTTTATGATATTAATTGCCTAAGTGGCAGCCTGCCACCCCAGGCTCTTCAAACCAGCCCTCGTGGTATAATTGCAACTTGCTTCACATCATTTCAAAATGGACAACTTGCATTCATTCCACTGTTCTTTGAGAAATAATTATGTATTTTTCAAAAATCCCTGCATGCAGAAAGGTAGCACATCATGGAAGAGGCTCAGCCAGACTTCATTTTCCTGATGTAGTAGTTTTCTATGCACAAGGGATTCCTTCCTCATTCTGAAAGCAATTTATTTATTTACAGTATTTATATTCCGCCCTTCTCATCCCACAGGGGACTCAGGGCGTGTTACAATGTACATATACATGGTAAACATTCAATGAAATAGACACACAACATATACAGACAGACACACAGAGGCTATTTAACATTCCAGCTTTTTTATCATGAGGGTATTCTGGCCACCTGGGGAGATGTCACTTCACCATCCATTTGTGACAGTGATGAATTACTTCCTCATTCTTTGCATGCTTGCTGGAGATTTTTATGGTGTTGTAAATTAGCCTCCCCGCATAACCGGTACCTAAATTTCCTACTTGACAGATGCAACTGTCTTTCAGGCTGCAAAGGTCGACAGCAAGCTACACAAATTAGTCGGAAGCTCACTCCAACCTGGGCTGGCTTCGAACTCATGACCTTTTGGTCAGTAGTGATCTTAATGCAGCTGACTCCCAGCCAGCTGCACCACGGTCCCGATTTCCAATCCTGGCAAGTCATAGACATAAAATCTCGCAAAGATTAGTCCAAAATTAGATTTGAGACCTAGACTTCTCCAGTTCTATATCATTCAAGAGCAATGACATGACACTTTTAGGAGCAATGTTATGATTCCATCATCCAACACTTTCCCCGTGATTCTGACCTACAAGTAAATGCTCAGGACATGAGTCTGGGCAGGTACTTACAACTTCCACTGGTACTGGGTGGCCGGAGGGTTGGCGTCCGATATACAGGTCAATTTCACATCCTTTCGGTTGAGGTACCAGTTTCCATCAAAGCCATCGATCCTCACTTCAGGCTCATCTGTGAGAGGAGAAGAAGGTTGGGACAGACAGCCATGAAGGACGAGACGGAGAAACAGAAGAGGAGACGCGAAGGCCGAGAGGGTGAGAGATGAGAGGACAAAGAGTGATGGAAAGCCGAGAATCCGATTGGAACAGGTGAGGAAGAACAACAAGAAAACAACAAAGGTGTGGGGCAGAGATGAAGAGAGAAGGGTATAAGGACAGGAGAGAGGAAGGAAAGAAAATATAGAGAGAACAGATGACAATTGAAACTCATTCTTTAAATCAGGGATGGGGAAAATGGGCCATACATTTTTTTTCAGTCGAAACAAAACGTTCTCCGGAAAGAAGCAATTTTGAGGCCTAAATACCCTAAAGGGACCAGATCCTATCCAATCTTGGAAGCTAAGCAGGCTCAGCCCTCGTTAGGACTTGGATGGGAGGCCATCAACAAAACCCAAGGCTCTATTTCAGAGGAATGAACTGGCATAACCACCTTGCCTATGAAATTCGTAGGGTTACCATATGTTGAATTGAAAGCAGACACACTTCAATGTGCTGAACCTTACCCACCAAGTAAGGTTCAACACCTTGCAGAGAAGAGTCAAGCCCAGAGCGGCTGCATCGTCTCCCTTGCCAATGCGAGACAGTGGCCACCGGTGGTCTTAGGTCTCCACCTTCCATATCTTCCAAGCCACTATGATTAGTGTTCCTCCTCCCCTTCATCCTCCCTGCCGCCCCAACTTACACAGCACATTGAGGGTCATGCTGTCGGTGAAGCGGTCCAGCTGGTAGTTGACCACGCACATGAGCTGCTGTCGATGGGCCTCGCGGCTGGGCAGGAGGCGGTAGCGGCTGATGACCGTGATGGTGCCATTGTTGTTGCGGATCTCCTGGAACTCGGCCTCCCCTTTCAGCTTGGTGTCCCACGTCACGGTGCTGGGGGGCTTCCCATTGGAGGAGGTGCAGGTGGCCACCACAATCTTCTCGGTCATGCCGGACCTGGCAATAAGTGGCCTGGTGGTTCTCTCCATGCGGTTTATTGGTTTGGCTATGGAGGAGGGGGAGAAAAAAACCAGGGTGAAGAAGAAGACAATGTTATGAAGTTACAGTAGAGTCTCGCTTATTCATTTATTTATTTCCAGCATTTCTACCCCGTCCTTCTTAACCCTCGGAGGGGGACTCAGGATGGCTTACACTCGGCAACAATTTGATGCCGCAACATATAATAGATACAACTATATAACAACAATTTAAAACAATAGATAGAACATTAATTCAAAACAATTGAAACATTATTATCAGCCATATAACCATTCCAGTCCAGTTCCACATCCAAAGTGATGTTATGCCTGCTGTCCAAAAGCCTGGTCCCAGAACCATGATTTCAATTTCTTCCTGAAGAACAGGAGGGATCTCGCTGGGAAGCGAGTTTCACAGGTGGGGGCCATCACCAAAAAGGCCCTGAGTCTCATCCCCACCAAACGCATTTGCGAAGCTGGTGGGACCGAAAGCAGGGCCTCCCCGGATGATCTTAAACTGCAGGGCAGGACGTAGAGGGAGATACGTTCGGACAAGTATGCTGGGCCGGAACCGTATAGGGCTTTATAGGCCAAGACCAGCACTTTGAATTGTGCTGAGGAGTGAACAGGCAGCCAGTGGAGCTGACACAACAGGGGGGTGGTATGTTCCCTGTATGTCGCTCCAGTAAGTAATCTGGCTCCCGCTTGTTGGACTAGCCCGTTGGAGTTTCCAAACAGTCTTCAAAGGCAGCCCCATGTAGAGTGCATTGCAGTAATCTATCTAGGATGCAACAAGAGCGTGGACCACCACAGCCAGATCAGACTTCCCAAGGTACGGGTACTGGTACACAAGTTTTAACTGTGCAAAAGCTCCCCTGGCCACTGCCGAAACCTGGGGTTCAATTGCATGTTTTCCCACCAATGCTGATGGCCTACAGACTGTAGATATCCCATCCTTGCCTTATGTCCAAATAGGAGGAGGGAGACAAACAGGAAAAGGTCACCCATTCGCTTACCCAGGACGGTGAGGTTGAGCTGATTCTCCCGGTTGCCGGTGGGGAACGTGGCAAACTCACAGATGTAAACACCTTCATCCTCCAGCTCCAGGCGTGAGAGTTGAATGGTCCCATCCTTGGTGGATGGATCTCGGAAAGTCACCCTCTCCTTGTACGGCTGCAAGACGGAGACGCCCATGTTGGGGTTATAGATGGCCACGTTCTGCTTGGAGCCATTGGTGGCCTTCTGCCAGGTGACCTGGGTGATCTTCACATTGGGAGAAGGGTTGGTCATGCTGCAGTGGAGGATGACACTGGTCCCAATGAAGCCAGAGACGGTGTCGTTGACAAGCACCATCTGAGCCCAAAGACCTGCAATATATATAAGAGAGAGAGAGAGAGAGAGAGATCAGAAAGGGTGATGAGAAAGAGGTGTCGGATACAGGAAACGCTCTTCTGGGTCTCTGTGATGCCCAGCATGTCATTTGTGCAATTAATTTCCCCGGCTTGTCGCTCAGGAGCAGCAGGTTGCCATAAGCCCTTCTAAATATGGCTCCCGGCTCGGCAGATAAACGAGAAAATGAGAAAGAGCAAAACTACAGGAGACAGTTTCCCTTTCCCAATTGGCAATTTTCTTTTTCGGAAAAGAAGCATCTTTTAATCTTCTGTCTCTTGCAAGGACAGACGGCCGGATGATAAAGCAGCCTCGACTTTGGGAAAGTTTAGCAGCTCACATTTCCGCTCGCTCCCCTGCTGATCTAGTGCTTCTTATTCTGAAAGCAAGCAGCAGGAGAGCATCTCTGCGGGGGTGGCGACCAACCCCTTTGCCAATTGGATGGGGAGTCTACTCCGGGCTTTGGTGTGAACTTTAATAGAGGTATCCAAGGGGGAAGAAACCCATCTTCTACATGGCTTTGGCACCTTTGAGAACTCCTTCAAAGCTTAGGCTGAAACCTAGGGTAGATTGATATGTGTGAGTTGGGGAGATATTTGTCCCTTCCTCATCCAAGATCCCAACTCACCATCATCAAATAACAAAGGAGTGATTCTACTAGTTCCGTATGGAGAATGTCTATAGTTTGAGTGTTGAGCTATGACCCTGGAGACCAGGGTTCGACTCCTTCATCAGCCATGGAAACCCACTGGATGACACTTTCTCGGCTCCATAAAACCCAGTGATAGGTTTGCCTTGGAGTCACCATAAGTTGGAAAGAACTGGAAGACATCCAACAATAGTTCATGCTCAGAGACTGTTTCTGGAGCATCCATTGGCAACTGGATTGTGCACATGAAACATCACAAATCTCTAGTTCCCCTGCTGGAACTACTGATCTGAATTCTCCATAGACACATAGGCTCACGTTTAATAGAATCCAATGCTTGGAAGGAATTTGTACTTCAAATAAAACATTCTAGTGTGTTGTGGACCCAAAGTTTAGTTGATTAGTCAACTAATCAACTCCAAATTTCATTAGCGTATTGTGGACCCAAAGTTTAGTAGATTAGTCAACTAATCAACTCCAAATTCCATTCTGGAAACCACAAGGTCTTCCCAGGATTGGGGCATATGCATTAAGGTAAAGGTAAAGGTTTTCCCTTGACATTAAGTCCAGTTGCATCCAACTCTGGGGATTGGTGCTCAGCTCCATTATTAAGCCTAAGAGCCAGTGTTGTCCATAGACACCTCCAAGGTCATGTGGCCACCATGACTGCATGGAGCACCGTTACCTTCCCGCCAGAGTGGTACCTATTGATCTACTCACATTTGATTGTTTTTGAACTGCTAGGTTGGCAGAAGCTGAGGCTGACAGTGGGAGCCCTTTCAGTAAGCAAGTTCAGCAGCTCAGCAGTTTAACCTACTGTGCCACCGGAGACTCTGGGGTATATGCATTAGCATATGCAATTTTATGCAAATCATTACCCTCTTTTGAAGTGATGTATCCACATTCTGTTGTCTCTATTTATTTATTTATTTATTTATTTACTATTAATTTACAGTATTTATATTGTGCCCTTCTCACCCCGCAGGGGACTCAGGGAGGATTGCAATGCACAGATCCATGGCAAACATTCAATGTCATTTAGACATACAACATATATAGACAGACACAGAGGCAATTTAACATTCCAGCTTTCAGGCTTCATGAGGGTGTGCTCGATTCTGGACACAGGGGGAGCTGCCGCTTCACCGTCCACTTGTGACACCAACTACTTGATGGAGTACTTCCTCATTCTTGTGCGTGCTGCTAGAAGTATTTTTAATCGTGTCATATAGGAGCATAGTGTCTAGATCTAGGGAAGTCATGCTACTCCTCTATTCCACTTTGGTTAGACCACACCTGGAATATTGTGTCCAATTCTGGGCACCACAATTCAAGAGAGATATTGACAAGCTGGAATGTGTCCAGAGGAGGGTGACTAAAATGATCAAGGTCTGGAGAACAAGCCCTATGAGGAGCAGCTTAAAGACCTGGGCATGTTTAGCCTGAAGAAGAGAAGGCTGAGAGGAGATATGATGGCCATGTATAAATATGTGAGAGGAAGCCACAGGGAGGAGGGAGCAAGCTTGTTTTCTGCTTCCCTGGAGACTAGGACGTGAACAATGGCTTCAAACTACAAGAAAGGAGATTCCATCTGAACATGAGGAAGAACTTCCTGACTGTGAGAGCCGTTCAGCAGTGGAACTCTCTGCCCCGGAGTGTGGTGGAGGCTCCTTCTTTGGAAGCTTTTAAACAGAGGGTGGATGGTAATCTATCAGGGGTAATTTGAATGCAATATTCCTGCTTCTTGGCAGGGGGTTGGACTGGATGGACCATGAGATCTCTTCCAACTCTTTGATTCTATGATTCTATATATTAGTTAAATTACCCTCCCCACATAAAACGGTGCCTAAATTTCCTACTTGACAGATGCAACTGTCTCTTGGGCTGCATAGGTCAACAGCAAGCTAGACTATTAATGATTGGGAGCTCACTCCAACCTGGGCTGGCTTCAAACTCATGACCTCATGGTCAGCAGTGATTTAAATGTAGATTTAATGTAGCAGTGATTTAATGTACTATCTGCGGCACAACCTTCTAGCGATGGGCTCTGCAGCGAAAGGGTTTTTCTGTTAAGCATCGGATTTGAAATAAAATCATTAACATTATGCTGTCCCAGGTATTACCTTTGCTACCCAGACAGAGAGAAGAAGATAATCGACATTTTAATTTGGCTTCCTTGCCTCCCTTCAAATTTCTGCTGCCGCTGCACCTCTCCCTAATCTACATGTTTCGAGATAACACTCTAATAATTATACAGCTGGTATTTACATTTAAAACAGAAAGCGATGTGGAGGGGGGAAAAAGGGACAGACAGTAAAGGCACAACGGAGAACAGGAAAAGCAGGTCTTCCTAAACACGTGAAGTGATGGGAGAGGTTAACAAACCAGGCAGCGGTTAAAGGAGGTGCAAAGCAAGAAGGAGAAGAAAGGAGATATCTGCAATGCACAACAAAAGCAGTTTGGTGTCATTTTAAACATCCAACTCCTTTACATGGGGTCCAATAATCTGAAAGCATTCTTCTTTAGCAATAGTATATAACAACACCATTTTTTTTTCTCCCAAGAGACATCTCTGGATGTTTGCAGGTCCATTTCTGGCAGTGGAATATACAAATGTGGAGGGCCGGCTATACTTGGTATATTGCCATAAGTATTGGTTTGTTTCTCATTCTGATTTCTTTCCTAAAGAAGTATATGTGCCATGTGTATAAAATGGTATTACATACAGTATCTATGGCTAGACAGATAGTTAGCTAGATGGATATATGGAGGGCTGACTCAGCCTAGTATACTATTAAAATTATTGATTTGTTTTTCATTTGGATTGTTTTCAAAACAGAATGTGTTTGAAGTGAATACATCAACTATTAATTGATATGATATATATGTAGGTAGGTAAGTAGTATGACAGTCAGATAGATGACAGAAGGAATTTTCCCATAATAGATAGATAGATGGATAGATGAATAGAAGGATGGATGGGTGTTTATATAGAAGGACAGAATGATGGATGGATAGGTAGACAGACAAACAGACAGACAGGGGGATGGGTGGGCAGGAGAGTAGACAGATAGACAGACAGATGATAGATAGATAGATAGATAGATAGATAGATAGACAGACAGACAGACAGACAGACAGACAGACAGATAGACAGATAGACAGATAGATGGGATGGGTGTTTGGATGGATGGATGGATTGATAAATAAATAAATAGATAAACAGATAAACAGATAAACAGATAGACAGATAGACAGATAGATGGATGGATGGATGGATGGATGGATGGATGGATGGATGGATGGATGGATGGATGAGAGAATGGATGGATTCATGGTTAGACAGCTGGATGGATGGCTGGCTGGCTGGCTGACTGGCTGGCTGGCTGGATAGATAGATAGATAGATAGATAGATAGATAGATAGATAGATAGATAGATAGATAGATAGATAGATAGATAGATAGATAGATAGATAGATAGATGGATGGGTGGGTGGGTGGATGGCTGGCTGGCTGGCTGGCTGGCTGGCTGGCTGGCTGGCTAGATAGATAGATAGATAGATAGATAGATAGATAGATAGATAGATAGATAGATAGATAGATAGATAGATAGATAGATAGATAGATAGATGGGATGGGTGTTTGGATAGATAGAGAGAGAAAGCGGGGAGAGGGAGGGGATGGGTATTTGGATAGATAAATAGATGGGATGGTGCTTAGATAGATAGATAGATAGATAGATAGATAGATAGATAGATAGATAGATAGATAGATGGGATGGGTGTTTGGACAGATAAATAGATGGGATGGTGTATAGATAGACAGACAGACAGAGAGTGGGGGAGGGGATGGGTGTTTGGACAGATAAATAGATGGGATGGTGTTTAGATAGATGGATAGATAGATAGGTGTTTGGATAGATGGATGTATGGACGTACAGACAGAAAGAGATGGAGGAAGAGAGGGATGGAGGAGTGGGTGGGTAGATAGATATATAGACAGATGAAGCACAGATGAGAGAGAGATATATAGTTGGATGGAAGGGTAGGTAGGTAGATAGATAAGATAGATAGGTCTATAGATCAATAGATGGCTAAATAGGATAGACAGCTAGATAAATAGAAAGACAGACAGACAGCTAGATAGATAGATAGATAGATAGATAGAGAGAGAGAGAGAGAGAGACATGGATGCATGCATTTGAATGGGAGATAGAAATAATTTCCCCAAGTTCTTAGAGATGATAGATAGATAGACAAACAGATAGATAGATAGATAGATAGATAGATAGACAGACAGACAGACAGACAGATAGATAGACCAGACAC